TAAAGTTGTACAAGCATGCATTGTGAGAAAAACCAGTGATGACACCTGCTCAGACCAAAATGGAGCAGACGCCAGTTCACACCACAGCCCACATGAAGGTGTTTTTATTCAATACAAACAGACAGCAACGGTAGCAAGAGACTAAGACCATAAATGCAAGACCACTCATTTTCTTACCAGCCAGGTAAACAGAACTCATCTGCTAATGCCAGACACTTTAAAGCTCTTAATCTAATGGAAGTTACTACAATTAAGGGCCTCTTTTCTAGCCAGCTGCTTCCTCAATTTAGAGTTGTCTAGCAGGTTAATTTTAACATAACAGAAGGTGTCATCTGGCTGGCTGCACCATGCACTGGTGACAGGAACATGTTTAATGTGTTTTGTGCTCAGGTTGCTGGGCCTCCTGGCTGGTTGTGTCCTCTGCACCTTGGTGCTGAGTATGCTGAGATTCGGCCAGCTGAGGATAAAAGGGACCTACCAGCCAGTTGAGGGGTGTGTTGTTAACAAGGTAATCCATCACATCATCTAAAGACTCCTTCATTTTCTGCAGCTGCCCCTTGCTAGAAGTGAGGAAGCCGTCAGATACTTCCTTAAAGGAGGAAGCATTGCGGAACACTGAGTAGATGTCTCCAGCCATCGCACCCAAGTGACTGGCCTGATCTTGGACGTTCTGCGGTAACCCTTGGACGTTGGACAGGAGGGTAGAGCATGTGGTCTGGAGCTGCTGAGTCAGGTTGCGGGCAATAGCAAGAGTACGTGACTCAATGTGCTAAAAATAAAACAAGTTTTAAAATTAGCAGTGGATCCAACAATGCTATGTATTAATTTTTTCAATTACAGGAAGCTGGTATGTGACCATCACATATGTGGATTTGACTTTTTAAAAAATCTTCACAAGAACTCTGAATGCAGCAGTGTTAGTCACATAGCAGTATTCATAGATACACATACTAACTTTTAAAACCCAAATAACCACTTTCTAGGACTACAACATGCTATTTCTTCTGTCTGGAACATGAATCCCTTTCTTGCCCTTTCACCGAGTTTATTCTCCCCCTTGGTCTCAGCTTAGCACTCACTTCTTCCAGGAAGTCATCTGACTCAACCATCCTCAATCCAAGACCAAATTAGGTACCTTTTCTATAGTCTCATAATCCACTTTTATGCTGTCAAAACACACTATGACAGTATAAATGCCTATCTACATCTCCTGTTAGTTTGTACCCATGATGAGGGAAAGGCCCATGTTTCTCATTTAGCTGAATCCTGTTGGGGGCAATATGCATAACTGCAGGTGAATAGACAAAGTTACTGCACAGTTTTGCTTTTCTGTCACACGATAAGCAACCTATGTACACAGTATTTTTTAAACCTTTGCTCGAATGATCTAAGAGGAATACCAACAAAATTGAAAAGTCTGGTAGAACTTCAGAAACTGTAGTGGATGACTTTGACCAAGCTGGCTCACCTCAGCACAGTGAGATTCATCAGTATCATCACAGCCAATGTTTTTCTTCCACTCTACCCAGGAGAGATAGAGCTTATCCTGAGCACCCTGAATTTTCTGGTTGGCACAGTGCACATTCTCCCTGGCAAATTCAATCTAGAACACATTGAAATCAAACAAAGAAACAAATTAGTGAGACATTTATGTTAGCTTATTCTCAGATCTATGATGTAAATCACATAGCATAAAAAACAAGAATATCCTTAAGCATTTAAGGAGAGCGAGATCCCTGCTATCATTGTTACTTATTACGAAGTAACTGTAGTTCTTTACTGCCTCTAATTCATAAAAGTCTCTAAATTTATCTCCAGTTTAGCACAGGTAAGGCAACTGAAATTTAATACAAGTAAATACAAGTAATACAAGTAAAATACAAGAAAAAAATTTAAAAAGAGAAAGGAATTCAAACTTCCTCTTCCCTGCTGCCAGCCATTTATTTCCCCTTCCAAGAATAAATGGGCTTCTAATGGCAGCACCAAACACACCGTACCGTACAAAACACACTGTACCATTACTTGGCAATCTTTAATGGCTACACAATAGGCTTTTGTGATATATCAATATAATAAGTTTCCTATTAGTTGATACCCACTGTCTACAGTCTTTTGCATCTCCAAACAACTATTCATGTCTGTAGGATAAAGTTCTAAGAGTAAAACTGCTAGAGGCATATATGTGTTTTTGACTTTCCGAGAACCATCCCTGGACTCCTCCAGAAGTCCATAATACACCTCTTTCTCTATACACCACTGCCTCAAACTTCACACTTTGCCAGTGTGACAGGACAAGAAAGGCATCTGTAAAGTGACTCCTCAGAATAAGATTAACATCACTTCCTATATATGGGCTATTTATACTTTCTTTTCTGTGAGCTGGTTATATAAAAATGTTCACCTATTTTTTTCTATAGGGTTGTTCATAAGGTAAGATTAAAATTCTTGGGTTTCATGATTACATTTCATTTATTCTTATCTCCCTAGATAAATGAACTCCCTTCAGATCTCTTTAAGTGAACTTTTACTCACCAGGTTAACAATGGAATTGAGCTGAGAAATGGTTTCTTGGCTTTTTTGCTTAGCTTCTCTCACCCTGCTAAGGGCCTGCTGGTAGGCACGTGAGCGGAGCTTGGTAGACAGAGATCCTAGCCTAACGTAATAACTTGGCTTCCGAACGGTATCAAATCCTTCGACTTTTTTTGCTTCTTTTTCTGAAGTTAGAAAGAAGGAACAGTCACCATAAGGGATCACAGCTATAAGTGACGAGGCCTGGAATCTAACCTAGATCTTGATTTTGTAAATTCTACCCAACCACCTAGCAATTATATACTCCTTTTCCCAAGACAGTTCATTTCTGCTGCTAGGTTTGACTACCCAGAACGTATCACTGCATCTGATGTGTTCATCTACATACATCTCTTCCCACCAGAGTGAGCTTCTTGGGCAACACATTACCTGGCATATAGTCGACACTAAACATTTAACGATTCTATAAAGCAGCCCACTAAAGACAATCCATCTATAGGAAATATTTCTCTAGGCTAATTTCTCCTAAAGTTTCAAAACTTACTATGTACATAAGTATATCACAATGAAGCTGTTTTAAAAGACTGATTTAAGTAAAAAACATTATCTCAAGACAAAAATCCACTTACCTAGTTCTTTCTCAGTGAGAGGGAGGTACTGGTCTACCAGCAGCTCTGATGTGGTGAGTGCACTGTCTACGCCATTGCTCACCAGCTGCATCATCCGACTCCCCAGGACTGTGTTAATGCTGCCATTGACCACAGACTTGGTCTTCTCTACACTGCCAGTCACCGCTCCTTTGGTCTTGTCCACCACCCCAGTGATCGTGCTGGCCACAGAATCCTTGGCCCCGGTCACAGTCGTCATCACAGCATCTTTTGCCCCAGTCATAGCTCCTTTGGCATTGCCAAAAACCTACAAGTAGAAGAACAGATCACTTAGCTGGTGAGAAACACTAGCATAAATACATATTTAAGGTCTTACCTAAGGCAGCATAGTTGAAGAGTTAAAGAAGGACTCTGGCCCTTCCACTCCCTAGTCTTGGTTAGGTTACTAAGAGTTGACAAGCCTCAATCTCTTTATCAGGTATGTTTGCCCTACCTGCCACCACTTAAGAGTTGTTGGAGAAGCAGATGAGATAAACAGATATAAAATCTGTCAGGGTGTTATTTTTTTTTAAACTAGGTAAACCTGTAGAAAGATACAAGGAGTATTCTAGAGAAGAATGGCATTTTCCATGTTGACATGCTTATACTGAGAGCAGCTCATGCATGCCTATGAGCAAAGACATAGGTACCATGCACACCTGGCCGCATACAGACAGCCCCAGAAGGCCACCATATAGGCAGACATACTCTCCATCCTGCTGGATGTGCTCTCAGATACCAAGTGAGAAAAGGTTCTATATAACACCTCTGCATTTATCCAGTACCACATAGGAATCAAGTCATTTATGAACAATTTCATTTGCAGAGGCAAAGCCACAAATTGATAGAGTTCAGACTAAAAGTATTCTAGTTCAAAGGTGGCTAATTCATCTCTGCTTCTTGGCATAACCTGACAAACAGTTCAGGAAGTATTGTAGTGGCCATTGCTCTTTCAAAAATATATCCAGGTTGAAGGAACAATTACATGTTTCCTGTTTATGGTATGCACAGCCTGTGCTAAACAGGTAGAACCCAAAAACATGTGAGATGGAAAGCCTCAGCACTTTTGTTGCAAGCTCACCTGGTTTGTTGGCTGATTCAGAATAGGCAGTTTTTCCTCAATCCTGTCTAGTCCCTTACAGGCATAGGTATTGGCAACAGCAACTAGAAGAATTAAAATCGGGAAAATGAACAATGTACGTATAGAATGAACACACCAACTATTATACCTTAAACACTCAGTGTTATAAAAAAACAGCATTCATTTACCATACAATGCACTGCCTAGGCTCTAACTCAGACAGGAAGAGGGTTGGCTGGTTGCTGGCAACTTTCTTGTACAGACAGGGAAATAAAGGGGTGGGGGAGCCACAGGCAGAGAATGTGACAAGCCGCGTAGGAAGCTGGCTAAAATGCTTCTTTCTCATCAACTGGCCCCTAAGGTTAATGCCAAGAGAAGCCAAGACTCACCTGAACTCTCATTCAGCAAATAAAGTATCTAAAACTCTGAAAAGTGACATTTCCATGCTAGTTTAACACCTACCTACACTTAATTCAATAGGTGGCAATGTATTTTGCGTTATCACCAGGAAACAGTATATACTAACACCACCCTGGACCTTCCTAACAAGGCCTAGATTTTAGTCTGAGCTTTCCCCTAATGATGACCAAGCCAGGCACTAGTCACAAATTTATTTGGGAAGTAGCAGAAGTGGAAAACTGGTCTCTAAATATTTATTATACTCCAGAAAGTCCATAACTTAACCATTTCAGCAAATGATTTAAATCTTCATTCAAAAGGATTCATAACGTGCAGAACCTTCATACACTGCTAGTGGGAATATAAAATGGTGTAGCGACTTTGGAAAACAGTCTGGCAGTTCTTCAAAATCTTACACACTTATTATATGACCCAGCTATTCCATTCCTATATACCAGGAGAACTGAGAACATATGTCCACACAAAAACTTGTGAACAAATGTTCACAGTACCATTATTTGTATCGCCAAAAAGCACTCAAATGTCCACCGTGATGAATATGATCTATCCACACAATGGAGTATTATTCCACAATAAAGGAATGAAATACTGAGATAATGCTACAACATAGATAAACCTTGAAACTGTTACACTAAGTAAAAGCAGCAAATCATAAAAGAATACATATTTTATGACTGTTTATATTGAATGTCCAGAATAGGCAAATCTATAAAAGACAGAAAGTAGATTAGCAGCTGTGGTGGAGGAGTAAAAAGGAGAGTAACTGCTAATGGGTATAAGGTTTCTGTTTTTTAAAAATTGCGGTAAAATATAAATAACATAGCCTTCACCATTTTAACTATTTTTAAGTGTACAATTCAGTGGCACTAAGTTCATTCATGATGTTTACAACTATCACCACTATCAATTCCAGAACTTTTCATCATGCAAACAAACTGATATGAGGTTCCTTTCTGGGTGATAAAAGTGTTCTAAAATTGATTGTGGTGATGCCTGCACAACTCTGTGGATATATTAAAAAATCACTGAATTGTACATGTTAAGTGGGTGAATTGTGTGGTGTGTTAATTATATCTCAATAATTTTTTTTTTTTAAGCAGTGTATGTACACTGTCTGTGCCCAAGGAAGTCAGTTATTTCAGTTCACCCACTAGTTCCCCTAGTGCTCTCAATGCCAACACAGAAGCATCTCCGGGGGATTTTTTACAAGTATCATGAACATCCGCCATTGCTAAAAAGCAGGCCTTCTATAACAATGAGGATCACCTGGAGGTTTCTAGACAAAGGCAGCATGTGCCTTAGGAAATCCAAAGATTCCTTAAGGTTGCTGCTGTGTGCTCAGGGCATTAAGCTGGCATTTGCCATATTCAAACCAGCTTCATGCTCACTCCTGACAGGTCCATTGAACTAAATCTTGAGGAGGAAATGAGAACTCACTTTGTGGCTCTAGCTTCTGGATGATGGGCAGAGCACTCATCACAGCCACAGAGGTGATGGTCTTCACGCCCTTCTCCGCAATCTCGCATACAGACTTCAAGCAGGGATACTGATCCTTCGTAGTGACGTAAGCGGAGGAGACAAGGTCATACGTCGAGCTAACCAAGGGTAAGTTGGCCACCCTAGACACCACACTCTGAAACCAAGGTGAGGAGTTAATTTCTCAAAACACACGGAGAGGGATAAGAATCAAGAAATAGCGATTTAAAATTCATACCAGTTGTGGATCAACTGCTACAGATGCCATTTTCCTTCCTGGAGAAAGAAGAAATCTGCGGAAGAGAAACTTATTTCACGACTCTAGGATAAAATTTTCCCAGATTCATTTCCCAACCCAAGCGAAGCTAATTCCAAGTAGAAAAATCAAGATGTCTTCTCTGCTTCTTCCCACACTCAAGCTCTGAGGGTTTTCCCCTGGCCAAACCTCTTCTGAAGCAAGGTTTCAGAGCTCCTGTGTAAATTTCCAATGGAAAAGAGACTCTGAAGGGAAAAGCAAAGTTGTTGATATATTTGTCTTGTTTCTCCACCAGGAGAGTAGGATACCTGTAGAAGGAGAATATCTGTACACACAAATGCTAATCAAGTTAAAATCCATGTTAAAACTAAAGAGAGATTTCAAGCAGGAGACATCTTCGGCAGTCAGGACTAACAAGTTGGAGCATTTGGGAGAGATTTATTCCCCTTTGTCAAAGGAGTGAAACTGGTTTAGTGGTGACTAAGCACAGGTGGAAAGAGGTGCTCGGATGAATTGAGAAACATTTCAAAACACTTTTAAATGTAAATTTAGTGTCCCCAACGACCCACATTCACGCAATATTGCCTCCCTGCTAAGCAGTAGAGCTGGGAAATTACAAGAACCAGCACAGCCCGCTGTCCACTACTTCTGGACCAATCAGTTCACTGTCTGGCCACCGAGGATCCCAGTTTTACAATAAAAAAGAACCGCGCTGAAGGCGGAAGTCAGGCGCCAGCATCGCCTGCCCTGCTTGTTACTGCGCAGCCCATAAAATTCCGCTGTAAGACGATGTTCCAATGCACTTCTTTTTAAATAATGTCCTTTCGGGACAAATGGAAAATGTTATCCTGCAACCACGCCAAGAAACTACAACGGTACTAGAGCAGCAGGCAGAAAAGACTCAACGAACATAAAGCAAAAGTCAAAAGCGCAGGCCCAAGCGACCGCCCCTTCCCACCAGGGCCCGGGGGCGGAAAGGCCGGACCCACGGGCCACGAAGGCCCCACGGGCCACGACTCCCGCCATCCAACCTAGTGCCTCGCAGGGGACCGGACCACAGGGGGCGCGCACCCACCGACCGAAAGCAGCCAAGACGCGAGAATCCAGCGAACCCCACACTCCCAGTGTCCACAGGACCTACGGCGTTCAGAGAGTAGGAGGCGCCGGCGACCCGACTAATATGACCAGTCCAGCCCGCCCCGCCCCGCAGCACGTGACTGGCGGCCGGGACTCGAACGCGCAGCGGCCGAGCGCGACCATCGTCCTCGGCCCGCCCCGGCGCCCTTCCCCCACCTCGGGCCCGCCTCGAGTGGGGCCCCATGTCTGGGCGAAGGAGTATCCTGCCTGAGTGCGGGGCTCTGTCTGAGTTAGGGGGTCCTGGAAGGCTCGTGGCAAAATGCAGCCAGCGCCGGGGTCAGCTCTGGTGTTTTGTAAAAGACGGTGGGGGAGTCGCGCGAACAAATTAACACTAACCCGATTCGTATCGGTCCTCAAAATAGAACTTTGTAAAAACGCAAACAGGGATTCTAGACTTATTAATAGCAAACAAATAACTTTTAAAGTTTTGTAAAATTCTAACCCGATGACAGACCTATAGAGATTTGTTTCACTGCTCTTCTGAGTTTAAAGGCAATTCCTCATACATATTTCTAATTTAAAGTTGAATCAAGAGCTTCCAAAAAAGGCTTTGATTACCACTGGTTGGTCCCCTTATTTTTTTCCCAGCGAAACTTAAACCCGAATCGGCTTATGTCTGTTTCACAAGGTGGCCATGTTTTAAAATGTGAGTTATGCACTTTATTTATTTATTTAAGAAACTTAAGTCATCAACATCTGAGTCTCAGTTTTTCTTGTGTAAAATTCTGGAACTTCAACCACACGATTTGAGCAAACATGTGCAAACGTCCCGGGCGGGGTAGGTAGGTGTTCCGTGGACCTCTCCCCAAGTGAGTGGCGGGGATCTCGGCCTTTACAGGTCTAGCTCTTGGGAAGGTAAACTAGACTGGGCAGTTGGGGGATGGGAAGTGTCAGGTGCGGCCGCCAGGTCCTCTGCCCTCCAAAATGCTGAGCAAGGGGAGCTGGCGATGAGTTAGAGCCTGGAGGCTGGGTTTGTTTGCCAATACGGAATTTGAAATGTGAGAAGACCTTAAAGGCGTTCACCTCAATTACTTATCTAGTGTTGCAAGACTGTAGATACTGTTTATCATATTTAAAGCTCCAACCTGACCGATTAAAAATGATTGCCTTATACACGGCTGAACACATCTATAGGCCCTCAGCATAGAAAAACAATTATCTCATTTCTACCCACTCCCATGTATCTCAAAATACAATACTAAACCATGAAATAAACGTTAGGAAGTCCAAAATAGTTCCCCTCGCCCATGTTGACATCTTCAGTGCTTTAAGCAATTAAATAGTTACTTTTTTCTTTTCCTTTTTTTGCTGTTCTGGCTTTGTTGGTACTCTAAGCAGAGGTTTGGTGTGCCTTTAGTTAATTTATTCCTGACACAGGAATGTATGGAATTTTTAGTAATTTTTTTTTTTTTTTTTACTTCTCACTATCTGACCTCTTTGCAACAGAAGACTCTTGCCCTTTCACCTACAAATGCCTCAGTCTTTTTTTGTTTGTTTTAAACCTGTGAGTCACTTGTTCTCTTTAAGGATGAGCAAGCTTCCTTCTGCTTGTCTATTACTTCTCTGTGAAGGAGAGGGCTCCAAGGACTAATCTTAGGTACAGATTCTCCATGCCCAGAGAGGATATAGCACACCAAGTTCTATAGCTGCAATTTTCTTTTCATGAATCTGTGAGAATGTGAAACTTGTGGCAAGAGTAATACCCAAGTCCTCCAAGGGATTCTAATAGTCTTTATAGAGAACCATTGTTTTACAGAAGTGTTTTTTCATAGGTTGGTAGGGGAACTAGTACATCAGAATCATCTAGCATGCTTTTCAAACATTCTCCTTCCTACTCCAAACTTACTGCATCAGGATCTACAAGGGGTGAGATGTAGAAACCTGCATTTTAAACAATATCCCTTTTGAATACCACCACTGTTTACTCTTCACAAAACACTTTCACGTGTTCCTCGGATTTGAGCCTCACAACAGCCTGAAAACTCAATGGAATGGGGATTGTTATTAAAAATAAAGAAACAGTCTCAGGAAAGTGACTGAATTTGTCCATAGTCTTATGAATGATTAAGCCACAAGCTAGGCAAGACTGGATCCCAGAGGCATGACCTGAGCTAATTACCTAACTTCTCTTTGACTTAGTTTCCTCATCTATAAAATGAAAATAATTTGCCTTCATGTTCTAGGTAAAGGATATATAGGTGTTCATTGTACTAGTTTTTCAGCTTATTGGTCACACTTGACTCTCATAGGCCTCAGTGCCTGTAAGATGAAGGAATTAGATGATACCTAGTGTTCCTTCCAGCTGTATTATCCTAATCCGCACCCGCAATAATACCTTACATTGTTTAGTTTTACGATGCCGTTCCTATAATTATTATCTCAAACCAAACAGATACTTTTTCCTACTCCCTTGTCATAAGACAGCTCTATCCAAACACAGGGGAAATATTTCTATGTTCATTTCTTTTCACCTGAGATTGAAATTAGATAAAGCTACTTTTCTCCGGGACCGGAGACAAAGAGAATGGGTCACAAGTAATGAGTCATGAGGCAAGATGATTTCTATTTTGACCAGTTCAAACTCCATGCCAACTGGTCACCAGCAGGAAGAATCTCTTGGGTTATCCAATTAATCTACCTGCCAAATCATCCCCAAACCTTGATCTTCTGCCATTCTTCTTTTATTCCCTTCTAAATACCTTAGAGAGGAAAAGGCAATTTCTCTTTCACACGGAATTCATCTTGATTCAGTTTTCAAACAGACCAACCTCCTCTGTCCAACTGAACTTCAGATCTTTTAGCCCGCCATGGCCCCTTCCCTTCCCTAGATGAAGTAAATTTAGCTAAGTCAAGTCAAAGCAATCAAAAGATACGTCTTGCCAAATTTCAAATTTATTTTCCATCTAATCCGTTTTCCTCTCCATTATAGTTTTGAAATTTTAAAACTGAAATTATCTTGGGCTGTCACAATTTCATGTATTTCTATTCTCTTTAAGTGAATGCAATTTTAAATAAATTTATAATAAAGCTTTTTGTTATTTATATCTAATTTATTCCCCATCACACACAAAGAACTTAAATTGCCTTAAAATTTATAGAATACAGAAAGAATAAATTTTAAATAGGTAAGAAAAATAAGGCAAAGAGAAATTAAGATGAAGGTAATTAATGTTCACAATAAGAGAAACTCGGTGACTCAACAAGAATGAAGAAACAGTTCCTAAAATAGTAATCTATTGTATGCAAATAAAGTACTACACTGGAGCTTATCAATTACTATAAGCTCTTTTGCAGTTTCTTACTTTGTTTTCTTGGTCTTTCGGCTAAGATCAAGTGTAGTTTTTTACTACACTTGATACTGTGGGGGTAAAAAAAACATTAACTTTAAAATCAGAGTCCCAACTTTTTGTTTCCAGCATTACTGAGATACAATAGACATATAATATTGTATAAATTTAAGGTGTACGATGTAGTGATGTTATATATATGTATTGAAAAAGGATTGCCACAATAAGGTTAACACATCAATCACCTCACAGTTACAATTTTTGTGTTTGTGATGAGAACTTTTAAAATCTACTCTCTTAGTAACTTTCAAATATACATTATTGTACTACAGTTATCATGCTATATATTACATTTCCAGAACTTATTCATCCTTTAACTAGAAGTTTTCAGAGACTCAACTTCGAATGTATGCATACTATGGTGGTAATGGTAATACCTACCTCAAAGGGTTATTGTGAAGAAAAATCAGATAATGTGTATAAGGTCCCAAACACAGCACCAGGCAAACAGTAGGTTATTAGCAAATGTCATTTTCTTTCTTCTTTTAATCTTGCTTTGTTCATAAAAAACTAAAGCTAACTAAGAAAAGAGATCCTATAGATGGTCCCATCC